TGTCATACTTTTGTAAATCCAGTGATGAGATGCTTTTTCCATTTGGAACTATGAATCATTGTAGGTATCTTTTCTTTAACTGTGGCAGGTATTAGTACCTCTAGCAAGATGAATTGAACTTTGAATCCATTCTTCAAATACTTGTATCACACAGTTTTAAACTAAGATTATTCAAAAACAGCGAGGTTTGATCATTCATAAATTGCATATTTTATTTCAAAAAATATTGGCCTTGTTTTAATTACTAGTACTGAATAGTTTTTAAAATATGTATGCCACTACTGTAAGCAAAAGAGAAAAGTAAAAGCTCAGGATGATTAAATACACAGATGCAGATTTCATCCATGGCAGGACCAGAATTTAATCACTTTTGTGTGTGTGTGTGTGTGTGTGTGTGTTTGTTAACCTATCTGTAAAAAGAACTTGTGAAGACTTGGAGGGGAGAGAGACAATGGTCAGAAGTAATAAAGTGAAGTACATGTGTAACAGCACTAATCATTTTAGCTTAAAACAAATGATTTGCTGTCTTAGAAACTAGAATCTTAAAATCTTTTTTTTAAAAAAAAAAGATTTATTTATTTATGCATACAAGAACTGGGGTACAGACCAGAGGTGTAGGGGGCGGGGCTGGCTGGGGTGGAGATGAGAGGCTTTACCAGAGACAGAGTGAGGAACAGAACAGGCAGACTGACTGAAATACACTGCTGAGGGGAGTAGCAGGCAAGACAGGAGGGTAACTCCCTGGCCAGCCGGGGATCGAACTTGTGGGGCAGAGGCAGCCAAGGCTGCTGATAGCTTCATAGTGCTGTGTTTAACCCTTTGTACCACCAGGGAGGCCCTAGAATCTTAAAATCGTAACAGAAGATTTCTGCATGCCATATGCTCTTTCACATGCATTCACACACCACAGTCGTCCTCAGTTATGACCTTGTTTTCTTCACTCAGTCACTGATATCCTCTACTCAATTTAATTCAGGTACTTCAGTTTTCCCTTTGTAGCCCTATGATCTCAAGATTTCAAGGAAATTGAAGATGATTTATCTTTAGAAATCAAAATTGGGAACAGTGCCTTAGATCATTTGGAGAGAACAGTGAGGGTAGAGTTTACTTGCATAACTCAGAGATTCAGTAAAACATGTCTTAAAAGATATAAGTGATGTGAGATCTCTATTCATATTTTCCTTAACTTATAAGCTTATTGATATACAGGACACAAATTCAGCAATTCTCAAATTTGATTGTGCATCAGAATCACTTGAGGGTTTGTTGTGGAGATTATAAAGTAGAAATTGCTGACCTTTATCTGGTTCAATGGGTCTGGATTAGAACCTAAGACTTAGCATTTGGGACATGTTTCCAGGTAATGCTGATGCTACTATTTCAGGGGGTGCACTTTGAGAACTACTTCTGCAGTTCACAGTCTCTTTTGAGGTAAACTCATCATACTTGTTTTTTGTTTCTCTGCTTTGCTTTGCTATGAATATGTTTTTTTCCTGACACTAGATTGCAGATTTACCCCACAAACTTTTGTATCTACCTTTCAATTCTGTAATATGTATCAATTCTATATAGTTGATATCTAGAAGATGGTCCTTGCTTTGGTCATTTCTCATATGCACAAATTTTAGTTATGAGGATGTATTAACTATGATTAATTGCATAGCTGCATAAAGTAATTAGCTCACTCTTCAATTCACTAATCGCTATACACATAGCATGCACATCACCATCAGTGGCCAATCATGTTACGTTTTTCAAAGTGTTAGTAATTTGTCACTCTGCACTAGTTCATGAATTTATACACAGCATAGTATGTGGTTCTGTGCTCTCTTTGCCTCTCAGTGATGAATTCATAACATTTTACTAAAGTAGATAATCAAAAGTGGGAGCTGGCTAACAGAGATTCAAGTGCAGAAGAGAAACAAAAAGTGATAATGCTGAAAGTGAATTTTGAAAGGAACATAATGGAGTTAGAGAAAAAAATAGCTGACAGTGGAAATGTTGACGCTGCTGCTGTTGAAGAGACTCTTGATCGCCTGCGGTGGAACCCGGTGAATGAAGGCAAACTCACTGACATAGATGAGGAGAGTAGATGTGACATAAAGGATGAGTAAGTGGCACTGGCATAAGATTTTACATTAAAGGGACTGTTGGAGATATTTCATGATGTTGAAAGCATAAAGAATACACTGTTGGGGCTGATCCTAAATTACAAAGGAGTATGACAATTCTCCAGGGCGTAGAAGAAATCCTTATTTCCTAAGTGGTAGCAAAAGATGATAAACACTGTTCAAACTGCTCTTGATAAGTTTTTTTATAAAGAAACAATTTGTATTCTTTAATTCTAGGTGTTTTAAATTATAATGTGCTAAATATTTTTACCATTTTTTCATTTCCCTATATATTTATAATTGATGGAGAATGTAATTGATAGAGATGTTTTAAAAAATTTAGAAGCAATGGAGCCATTATAGTTTTCCATTGTTTATTAAAATTACTTGTGTGGTTTCTGCTTATGTGATTATTTTACCATCCCACAATGCTTGAAAAACAAGGACTGCCTCTGTGTGTATAGATTCCTGTACGTGTGTGTGGGTATATATATGTATGAAAAGTACGTGTATATAAAGACTTGATATTATATAAATGGTTTATTTGTACTGGATAAAGCAGTATTTTCCAACCTTGTTTCATCTAAAAAATACATATATCTCTTACTATGAGATACCAAATTGATTTCCCATAGCTGAAGGGTAATGGCCAAAAAGATCTTGCCCTTCCAATCCTTGCTCAACTGCCTAAGGAGAGAAGATATATAAAAGCATGTATATAACTCATTTGAGAACCACAGGTAAAAATGCTCCATTGTTTAGAGAATTATAAACTCTGTGAAGGCAGGTCCTCGTAACACTTAGCATATGGTATTCTGTAGAGTTATTTTAAACTGACTTTATTTATATGTAACTTTTCATTTAGATTTCTTTAAAAAAAGTAATAACTAAATCTCCTCAAAGTTACATTTAGTAAATATCTAAAGATATTAACTCTTCCCTTTCTGTAGTTACTATACCTTTAAAATGTGTTCTTTGTTGCTGGAAATGTCACTATTAAATGAGTGTTATAAATGCAGAGGTGAAAAGCAAGTGTGTGAAAATTGAATTTGTTTTAGAAGAAAGACATCTATCTGGTAAAAATGTTTCTGATTCCTTATGAGCACAAAACAACTGAAGTGAAAGGCTAAATATGAAAATGAGTTATTAAATATGTGTTTTTGTTTGCCCAATGATTGACATCAACTTTCCAAGTAATGTGTTTTGAGAACTATATGTAAGAAGTTAAAAGAGAAAAGGTATTACTTTCAGCATTGATAAGTTACATTTGTATCCTGATGTTTTTAATGTTCCAATAATAACGTTTTTATTTTTACTTGATTACATTACATTTAACTCAGGACTTTTTTTTTTAAGATTTATTTATTTATGTAAGAACTGGGGTGTCGGCCAGAGGTGCAGGGGGGTAAGAGGATGCACCAGAGACAGAGTGAGGAACAGAACAGGCAAATATACTAAAATACACTGCTGAGGGGAGCAGCAGGCTAGAGAGGAGAGGTCTTCTGTGCCATGTGGGTTAGTTCTGTGGCAGGGATTGAACACGTCGCAGTGGCTGGTGATAGCTTAATAGCACTGCGTCTTGGCAAGATTGTAAGGTATTTACACTTAAATCTAGTTAATTAATAGATCTGTCAGCTCACAATTTTTTTTCTGTCTTTGGTGAGAACATTTAAAAATGTGCTCTTACCAAATTTCATTTATCCAATACAATGTAATCAACTATAATCATCCTGTTACACATTAGATTCTCAGTCTGTATTCTTTTATTTTTTTTATTTTTTTATTTTTTTAAAGATTTATTTATTTATTTATACAAGCACTGGGTATAGTCAGAAGTGCGGGAGGGTGACAATTTACCAGAGCCAGAGCGGGGGCAGAACAGACAGAAGGACCGAAATACACTGCTGAGGGGAGCAGCGGGCGCGGCAGGAGATGTCTGCGCACCATGTGGGACCCTCACCCGTGGCCCGGGATTGAACCGGCGCTGCAGAGGCTGCGGGCAGCGTTGCAGCCCAGCGCTCAACTGCTGCGCCACCAGGGGAGGCTCAGTCTGTATTCTTTTATAACAGAAAGTTGGTATCTTTTTACCAACCTTCTACCCTCCCCTCATCCCTAGGCTTGGCAGTCTTTTCTACTCTGTTTTTATGAGTTTGATTTTACTTTTGGATTCCACATAAATGATACCATGCAGTAATTACGTTTGTCTGCCCTCGAGGTACATCCTTATTGTCACAAATGGCAGGATTTTCTTCTTGTGGCTAAATAAAACTGCACTGTGTATATAAACCACATTTTCTCTATCCATTTATTCATTGGTGCACACTTAGGTTGTTTCTATAACGTGGCTATTATGAATTAGGCCAGATTCTTATGATCTTAGTTTTATCATAAGAAACAAGTGTGTCCCTATAATATGCAGAACATGCCCAGACTACAAATTTGAGTTTCTTTGCTTGCTTTGATAATAGGTACGTATTTCTCTAAAAACTTAACTTCTATAAAAATATACCTTTAATCGTAATTAGAAACACCAGCATTTTAACAATTTCTTACTCTCAAAATTTTGGCTAAAAGATGATATTTTTTTTGAGGGGATGTATGGACTTGTGTAAACTTTTCTACATTCAGCTAATATCTTAGAATTAATGCATATTTTATAATCTGACCTTCATCACTTTAAAATGTAGCTATAGTTGGTAAACTGAATAAACTATATTAATACTTTTTCAGCAAGACTTGGATGGCAAGTGCTTCTTGGCCATTTTAGAATACAAAGGTCTTTTACTGTTATAATTTTATAAAAATAGCTTTGAAGATCATGAGTAAATTGTTTTTATGTTTTTTAAATACTGCGATTATTCTTTTGTTAAGTTTGCTATTTTATTTTAGGACATATTGATGCATTTACTTCAAAGCTTTTCCTGCTAGAAGAAATTACCTCAGAAGAATTGAAAGAAAAACTTTCAGCACTCAAGTAAGAACATTCACGTTGTGAGAATTTCAAGACCTTTGAAATTCTTTATCACTAAATATTGTTTATGTTTAAATTATTAATTTGAAAACTTTCAATCCCTTTATACATGGAGGCTTCTTATACCTAAGTTGTGATCTAGCCAAATTAATCATCCCTATCTCCAGATTAAATATAAAGCGTGCCAATCTTTCTGCTTAACACAAAGACGTTTGAATGAGAGAGTGGCCCCCCATCTGAGAAGTGCACAGGGATGGAAAAGAAAGGATAGTCACAAACTCTGTTTTTTAAATAGAGGTAACATTGATTTACAACTCTGTGTTTTAGGAGTACAGGTTCATACCTCTTCAAATGTGTTTACCATACAACACCCACCACTTTGTTCTTGCCGTCCCTCCCGCTCTCATACCTCAATTCTGCAGTAAGAATCCAAAAGTTTGTTTTGGTTTGGTTTTGTCTTTTCTTTTATTGTGTTTCTTTATATTCTACCCGTAAGTGAAATTGTCCAGTGTTTTCTTTCTTTGTCTTACTTATTTTGCTTAGTGTAATCTTTTTCAGTTCTATCCAGTTTGTTACAAATAGCAAAAGAACATCTTTTATTATTGGCATAGTATTCCACTGTGTATATATTATTTTTTTCTTTTTTTTTTTTTTAAAGATTTTTTTATTCATGCTTGTAAGAACTGGGGTACAGGCCAGATTTGTGGGAGGGTGAGAGGATTCACCAGAGACAGAGAGGGGAACAGAACAGGCAGACGTCTGAAAATACTGCTGAGGGGCGCAGCAGGAGAGACAGGAGAGGTCTGCTGCGTCATGTCGGTATCTCCCTGGCCAGCCAGAATCGAACCCGCGCTGCAGAGGCTGCGGACAGCTTCAGAGCCCTGTGCTTAGCTGCCTGCACCACCAGGGAGGCCCTATATTATATTTTTCTAACCCATTCCTTCAGTACTTAGATTGTTTCCCTAAGTTGGGTATTATATATAATGCTGAAAGGAACATAGGAGTGCATATATCCCTTCAAATTAGTGATTTTGTGTTCTTAGGCAAATGCCTAGGAGTAGAATTGCTGGATCATATGGTAGATTTTTTTTAATACTTTGAGAAAACTCTGTTCTGTTTTCCATAGAGGCTGGACCAGTCTACATTTCCACCAACAGAGTATGAGGGCTCCTTTGCATTTTTTCTTCCATCACTTGTTGTTTCTGTACCCCCCCCTCCCCATTACAGGGCAACCCCAATATGAAATGGGTTGGGCTGGCTGGGTCCTCCCCGCATACTTAAAAGGGACTTAAAATGAGACTCAGCTGCAGGTATTCACAAAAAGGGATAATAAAGGGTTTATTTATAAAAAGGGAAAATAAAAATAAATAACAGGAAAAAAGAGAGATAAATTGGTAAATGTATCCTACCAGTTTCACTGAGTTAGAACCCCAACAGCATACTGAAGGTTGGCCAAAAAAAAACAAAGACTCCCAAGGCCCACATGTCTGGGTATATACCAAACATGGCTGCTTAACTCCACTGTCAGTTCCCTACAATCCTTCTTTCTGTGGTGATGACATTGTGGTATTTGTAGTCCTTGGTGTCTTGGATTTTTTTTGTTCTGGGGTGGTGGGGTGGGGGACATATTACCCCATCACCCCCACCTTTTTATTTTCCTGGTCATTTTGATACAGGTCTTTCTCATAGTTGTAAGGTAATATTATGGTTTAATTTTCATTTCCCTATTAAATAGTGATGAGCACTATTTCACGTGCCTGTTGATCATCTGTATGTCTTGTTTGGACAAGTGTTCAGACCTGCTCATTTTTTATATGAATTATTTTATATTATTCTTACATCATTTTTCATTTTTGCATAACATATGCATTTTCATTTTGGTTATATCATTTTTTGATGGGGTTATTTCATTTTTATTGTTTTCATGTATGAGTTCTATGTAAATCTTGAATTTTGAGCTTCCAGTTGGATATGTGATGCTACTCTTAGCTCTCAGAATTGTATATACTCATTTGGACATCCTAACTGCTCAAAGTTTACCCTTCTACCAACTACCATGTTTATCCTTCTACTGTTTATGAGAATGGAATTAATTTTTTGTACTCAATACTCTTAACTGCCTAAATGCCAAGGAAAATAGTTTATGAACATTATCTAATTTGCATCTCACAACTTTTGCAGAAGGACCGAAAGTGTTATCTATTATTTGGAAACTGGAACATAGAGTGACTTGCCCCAGAGCTCACAGCTGTGCTAGAGTGACAGCCTTGGTAGTTAATATGTTTGATTTACCACTTAGGATGAGAAATTGCCTTTTTATATTAGTTTTTTTTTTTTAACTACTGCAAGTTCCAGCTTTAGTGGCTGATATAACTTTAGAAGGGTTCCAAATTTAAGTTTGAACTCTTTGCTTGTCCTTAAAAACATTTACTTCTTTATGATAATTGCTTCTTATGAGGGGTAACTTATCTTTACATATGTACTCCCAGAGTAAATCACTTTTAAATAAAAAAGGAAATGAAATTAGGTCTATAATAGACCTCATAATAGACTAACCAAATCTCTATATTTCCTTTCTCTCTAACAATCCTCTCTCCAATCATTGCGTTTTCTAGCATTACACATATAAAATACCTCTCACTTTCTTTGGAAGCTGGTATACCATCATCTATAAAAGGAAACTCTTCTGCAGATTAGTTCTGTTAAAGACATCTGAACAATTTCAAAAGTTTATAATTTGAATGTAAAATACTGATATTTTTATTGCAGCCATTTCTCTTCTTGAAAAGTTAAGAGTAAGTTTTTTTGTCATTTAATTTTAATTTTACATGAATTTCTTCTGTTTAATAGGATTTCAAGTTTATTTAACATCCTCCAACACATTCTAAAGAAATTGAGTAGGTAAGTTGTTTTTTTGGTTTTTTTTGTTTTTTTTTTTTTTATATTTTGCATTGATGTGTCTGATTTTCTTGGATGAACAGTCATAGAAACTTTGAAAATGTGCTGTTTAGGGCTAGATAGAAAATAACCCTAAAAATGTAGTCTTTATTGTGCCAAATGTGAAAATGTAATTAAAAAGATAACAGTATCTGGTTTTAATGAGCTTGCAGTTATAGTTTTCTTTAACATTGTATTGTACTCGTCTCTTATTGACAAAGTACCACAGATTTTGTACCTTTAAAACACACAAATTTATTCTCTTAAAGTTCCAGAGGTCAGAAAGATGAAATCATTCTCACAGCACCCAACATAAGGTGTCAGCATGGCTGGTTCCTTCTGGAATCTCTGAAGGGATGATCATTTCCTTACTTTTTTCAGCTTCTCTTGGCCACCTGTATTCCTTGACTTGTGGCATCTTCCTTCATCTTCAAAGCACATCATTCAAATCTCTACTTCTGTTGTCACATTGTATCCTTAATCACATTTGCAAAGCCATTAAAGGTTCTAGAAACTAGCATGTGAGCATCTGAGTTACCATTATTTAGCTAACTATGTAATTCCGTCCACATTTTCAGGGTAAGCAAGCAATATGGAAGTTATTAGGTCCATATCAAATCTTAGAAGATGAATTCTCCACCTGATCGTTTATCTAAGTGTTTACGAGCTTTTGCATTCTTTGTCATTCAGCAAAAGGTAAAACAAACAGTTCAGTAGTCTGAACTAAAAGTGAAAAATCTTAATGTTCAAGTTCTCCTTCTTATGCAGCCGATGTCAGCTTCCTTATAGACATCATTATGAAACGTAGTAGGCTTATGAGCAGATCCATATAACTAAAATTTGATTCTTATTTTTAATGATATATTGTGGAAAGGGACTGATTGATGTTGTCCTTAGTCCCTCTGAGCTACAGGACTAAAATTCCATGAATATTAATCAGATCCTTCATGTTCCTTATGTTAATACATGGAATTCCCTAAAACTTTTAGGGAAAAGGGAAAAATACAGATTTGCTGTTTGACAGAACTAATTAATATGACAATAGAGGATTATGATTAAGGTTATGTCCTGTGGAGGTCATCTGCCTGGGTTTATATCTAAGATCTGTACATAGAACTTTGACTAAATTGCTTAGCATCTGTCATTTCTATTTATCTCTGATATATGGTTAAAGTTTAATATTCTGACTTGAAGTTTTGTTGTGGAGGATTTCATGACAAAATGGATGTAAGCAGTATGGTAGTCATTAGTTCTTGATAAGCATTCATTACCTGTCATTTTTTTATTGTTAATGTGTCAGCACCTCATTGTATTTGTGATTCTACTGACTGTTTCTGCCTCTTTATTTTAAACTATATAATGTAGTAAATGTGTCTACACATTGAGTTTTGTATCTTTTCACTTATTACTAGAAAAAAAGTAGATGCAGTGTTAAATGAATTAAATTGCTTATAGGAATGCTACATCTGTATACTCAGAAATGCTTTTCAGTATATGTTGTCAATGTATTAGAGAACTAGGCAGACAATGTGTTTCCCATTAAATTATTAAAAACTTACTAATTAATATAGTAAAAAATAATTATACTTTGAAATAAGAATTAAAATTATTTGCCTGAAAGGCATGAAAAGAGTTAAAAAGATTTATTAAATCTTATTTGGTCATAAAATGTATTTTTAAAGGTGGTAGTCCATTCCCTTAGCTGTTCTAATAGATCATAATCAAAAAAATGCTATTGAAATTGACACAGTTGAGCCAATGTGTTTCATGTGTGGATTTAGTTTGCAGGAAGGTTCCTACTTGTTGTCTCATGCAGCAGAAGATTCTTCCCTCCTGATCCACAAGACCTCAGATGGAAAATTTAGTAGGACAGCATACAATTTACATAAAACACATTGTGGTCTTCCTGGTGTGCCTTCTAGTCTCTCAGTTCCCTGGGTTCCATTAGATCCCAGTCTCTTGTTACCTTATCATATCCATCATGGAAGAATACCTTGTACTTTTCCTCCTAAGTCACTAGATCCCACAACACAACAAAAGGTAAGATTTTTATTTTGAAAGTAAGTATTCCATTATGTTGTTTATTAATCTGTCTCATTGATTATATAATGTTTCAACCTGATGTCCACATCTGCCATATTAATCACAACACCATTCTAAAAACTATATCCATAGAAAGATTAAAGTTGTATGTTCATCTCAGTCCAGTTTTTTCATCAGGGGAAGTTTCTTTTTGTAAGATTTATAAGTCAACTGAAGAAAATTCTTTTAGCTTGCCCAGTGGGGAATTGAAAAGGCATTCACATACTTAACTCTTCATCTTCCTTTGAAAAGCAAAGGTTTTGTTTGTTTTGTTTTTTTTGTAATTTTTATATATAGCTTTATTTTATTAAATATTTGAGGAATATGTACAACAAAATTATGATATAATTAAAAATTAACAAGTAGGATGTGGAAAAATACAAAGATGCGTGCATATTGGTAATTAGTGAATGCAGTGCCTTATTAAAAGTAAAATTACAGTAAAATGTTAAGGACTAAATTTTGTTCTGCTCAGTATTCTATAACTCAATATTTATTATTTAATTTTACTTTCTTTATGGAATCCTCCCAGAGATACCTATTGGTCATTTTTCTCTATGCGAAACTTACAAAATTATGGCTAATATCACGTATTACATCATGTAAGAAATTTAGGTGTAGGAAAAGTTGTGTTATCCTCAATTGAATTTGAATATTTAAGAAACAAAAGTCCCATGTTTTCCTTCCCTACTGCCAAAAATCTTTGAGGTCTATAATTTTCTTAATATGTTTGCCCCAGAACATCTGTGACATTTATATCATGTGGATATGTTCTTTCTTTCCTACATTAAATTAAGTTGTAAGTGACCTGAACTTCTTTCAAAAACAATTGGAATGCTGATGCTGAATGTATTTTTATAATTTATAGTGAATGTTTTTATATTATTCAGTTCCCCATCCTAATGTTACTACTATTTGGGAGACTTCTTTTAGAAGTGAGATATGCTTGGATAGTCTTAGTTTACTTTGGCCAAAAAATATATAAATGTGGTTAACTATTTGGGATAAGTGAAATAATGGAGAAAATTAGATGTTAGCACTTTAAGCCATTTTATTTTCAGTTTGGTATTTCTAATTTTAATATAAACAGTAATTTTTATAACCTCCTAAGGCAAAATTTTCTTAACTGACTTAAAAGTAATGATTGAAAACAGTTTTTGAAGGATTCATGTTCTTATAAGTATAATTTTTTAATTTAGAGTTTGTAGTTAGTCTTACCTATAACATATAGCTTTATATGGAAGTTGCTTTAGTCCATTTTAGTGAAAATGAACAGCTTAATAATTTGACAAAATTTCATATTTCAGAGTTTGCCCAAATAATATATAAAGCTAAACAATTCTGTTGTATGTGCACCACTGAGCACTTGTTGATTTGTGTTTTTTAATTGCTCTATGAATTCAGGCCAGGCTAGGAAATCATCCAGTACCGGGTTGTTGTTCAGCCTAGCATTAGGTACAGTAGACTATTACATGACTAATTCTTAGTTTGATTTTTTTCAAACCCACAAAGTTTTTGGTGATCTCTTATGTATCTCACTACAGTATAGCCATACAATTAATGTGAATGGCCCCACCTTTCTCCTTTACTTCCTATCTAGGCCAGGGAGATAGAACTTTCTAGTCCAACCAAGCTAAGCACAGCACAGATAGGAATTCTACCCTTAGGAGCAACAAGAGAGGACCAGAACTTCCAGAAATTGGGGGAGTAAAACCTTGTATGAAATAAGAATAATTTACATATTCCATGGTATAATGTTTCTGCTCCTTTTATCCTAACTTTTGCTTCCATTTCTTTTGAAGAAGCTCTATGCTTATACCTTTTCCCCCTTTCATTAGACATATACATGTATGTACATGTGCACACATACACTGTCTCACAATGAAAGTGTCAAAATACTTGCTTTACTTGATGATACCATAGATACCATTTAGTGTGGTCAGTAAATTTATCAATAGTAAATATCAGCTGAGAAGAGAATAGAATAATCTAAAAATCACAGTATTTTTCTAATCAATATATTCCCCAAGTTCATTAGATTTAAACAGATCAGACTAGCAGAGGCAAATCTCAGCTGAAATCTGTCCTTTCTTGTCATCCACTTGTAAACCCAAAAAAAATTTTTTTTAAGATTTATTTATTCATACAAGAGCTGGGGTACAGGCCAGAGATGCAGGGGGCAAGAGGATCCACCAGATACAGAGTGGGGAACAGAACAGGCAGACTGACTGAAATACACTGCTGAGGGGAGCAGTGGGCGAGTCAGGAGAGGTCCGCTTCGCCATGTGGGTAGCTCCCTGGCTAGCCAGGGATTGAACTCGTGCTACAGAGGCTGAGGATTGCTTCATAGTGTGGTGTCTAACCCTTTACACTACCAGGGAGGCCCCCCAAAAATGTTTAAGATATTAAGTGAGGGCAACTGCAGTCTGATTCCTTTTTGGTGAGCTAGTGGTTCATAGGCTCACTGTTGGTATTATTTTTGTTGTATTAGGAATATGAAAGAGTATGCTTGAGTATCTCCCCCTCCCAGACCAGGAATTCACCAGACAAGATGTGAAGAAATAGAAAGGGTGCAGTGTAGGGTTGCTGGGGAAAATAGAGGCAGATAGCCAGGGTTCTGGGGAAATGGTTTCAGGTTACACAGCTTTGGTCCTTTTCTTAAAGATCTGACTTTTTCCATGACCCTTTGAAGAACTTTATGTTCTTTTCAGTAGCCAAGGAGATGACCGCATTCCTAGATCTCATCTTCAATAGGATTTGTTGTAAAAATACGTGCTCTTTCTTCCATAGACTGTGTAAATTAGAAAGTGAGGGTATCAGCTTGCACTTAGGAAAAGTAGGTAATTAAAGTATGACCAGCACTGCAACAAAGGTTTGTTCCCTACTTCTCTTCTTTCTCTTTTCCCATCTTCTGAAGTCTTTGTCCAGTGTTTCCTTCTTTTCTTTTCTTCTTCTGTTTTCTTTTGTTCCCTCAGTTTTCCTTTCCACTTAGGTTCTTTTCTTTTCTTCCTTCTTTTCATATCTATTCTTTTTCCTGCCTTGTTCTCATTAGGTGCAGTAGACAATTACATACCTAATTCTTGATTTTTTTTCAAAACCACAGGAAGTTTTTGGTTATCTCTTATGTATCTCACTACAATATAACCATACAATTAATGGGAAGGAACCCATTGGACTTTTCTTTTTTTCTTACTTTGTCTCTGTTTTGTAATTTCTTCTTATTTTACCACTTCTAACCTTTTTGTATTTCTTTTTCCTCTCTGCACATTTTTAATTTCTTCCTTTTTTTCTGCCCTTCAACTTCATTATTGCAAACATGTTGCTTGAAAAGCCTGTCGGTCCCTTATTTTTTAAATTGAACATTTCAAACTCTCCCAAATATAGCAGAGAGAGTAGTTTCCCCCTTCACTTCTCTTCATTAATCCTGATCTTTTCCTCTCCCTGGTTGTTATTTGAAAGTTTCATACTTTAAAACTCTGTCAGATTAACCTTGTTTAGAAGCAGCTACAGATAGCTGAAGATTAAAATATATAATGGGTTGTTCACAGCATAATACATGTTTAAAAAAAAGGGAGTTCACAACATATATGTGTGTTGAAAACATGTTAAGCTATTCTATTCTTTGCTTCATTTCTTAGATGGGTGGAACACGAGTGCCTGCTCGTAGCCGCAGGAATCCAGTTTCCATGGAAACCAAAAGCCTGCCTGCTCAGCAAGTTGAAAATGAAGGAGTGGCTTCAAATAAAAGAAAAATTACTTGAGGACTCTATCATGAAAAATGAACAAAAGTCAAAATTAACAGTGTTCAATTTAGCTTTTTGAGGGGAAATATGCCTAAAAGAGCTATCAAAAAGAGAAACTTTTTTTTTAGTGTCTGAGACTTCTTAGAGTGCCTTGACTATGTGAAGGAATGTTTCAACCAAAATGGAATACTGTGTTCTTAACACTTGATGTTTGAAGAGAATCTAGGTATGTTTATTATTATGCAGGGAAATACATAGAGAAGAAAAATATTTTTGCAAGACTTTTTCCAGCAATTGTAAATAGGAAAATAATTTGCTTTTTTCAAGAGTGATGTTTATCATTATGTACTACGTTAAAATTTTGAGTTGTATTACCACTCTATTGAGATTTGCTGTATAGATTAAATCTTGCCACTGTCAGTGATCATCTTGAGCAATATAAATCTAGTTTCTAACCCTGTGACAGTTCTTAATATACTACTTTAATATCATTAAAGATTAGTAAAGTTAATACCTTTTAAAACTTGGTGAAATTTCATTCCAGACTTAAAATCCCTGGGCCTCCCTGGTGGCACATGGGGTGTAGTCTGAGCACTATGAAGCTATCTTCAGCCACTGCAGCATGGCCAGGGAGCTAACATACATGGCGCAGCAGACCTCTCCTGTCTCGCCTGCTGCTCCCCTCAGCAGTGTATTTCCATGAATCAACCTGTTCTCCCCACTCTGTCTCTGGTGAATCCTCTTACCACCACTGCTCTCCCTACCCTCCCTCCCTTCACACCTCTGGCCTACAGCCCAGCTGTTGTATGCATAAATAAATAAATCTTTTTTTAAAATATTAAACTCCCTGCTGCTGAAAAGTTACAAGTTAACAATTTCTTTTTGATAAGCCATAAATTTGCTTACAAAAAAAACAAACTTGCAGTCTAGCAGGTTTGGTGATGAATATGTTTATCTCTTGGCACATATCACAACTGAGTGTTGAACTTCACCACTGAAAGCAAAGGATAGTATATTTCCCAGAAAAACTTCATTATTTCAACTGACAAGGCTAGTGGGCAATAAAACAAACTAATTTTACCTCATTCTATACTGATTAAATTTTTTTGGCCCACAGAAATTAATTTGGGAAGGGGCATGGTCAGCTGATATTGTCGCCCATACATAATGTTCTTGGACTTACGAAAGAATGAACCTATTTAATTTTTGTATCCCTTGTATTCTTTAATACTCTTAAAGTTTTCAGAAATATGGATATCATTTGTAAATATAGGTTTTGTAATCTGAGGTAGTATTTGCTTTGTTTTTAGAACTTTCTAGTTGTTTTGTTTAAATCTCCTCAAGTTTCATAAGTAACAGGTGAATATTTTTAATCTTCAACTGCCAATTTTTGTTTTGGTTTTTTCGATCAGCTATAAAATATTTTTAATGAGTAATTATTAGTAAAATTATACATTTTAATATATAATTTCCTTATCCTGCCATTCATTCCTTTTTTAAAATCTTGAGCTTTTTTTTGTAGTGGATTTTACATGGTTTTTTTGGTTGTTTTTCTGCTTTTCTTTTAACTGTCACATACCCACATACCCCAGAAATATTTTAGTTCTGAATCATTTGGCATTGAATAAGGGAGACATGGGATACTACTGAATACTCTTAAAAAAAAAAAGAAAATGATTGCTTCAGGCTTTTGAATATCAGAAAGACTTGGCTTTATTTTTTAATAATACTTTTTACTTAGCAAAATGTGTGATCATGCTACTAATTATTTTAAAATTATCTTAGCCATATAGTTGAATAAACCTGATAACATGTCAAGTTACTCTTAGTTTTCCACTTGTGCTTGACCCTCTTTAAAAAAAATTTCATAGTGTCTTGTATTCTTTTTCTTGATTTTTAGAACTGAGACTGTTTAAGCAGCAAAGTGATATTGATAAAATGAACAAAGATGTTTTTAGAAAAAGCAAATTCAGTATTGACCAAGGACGAGATGAACCTGGCTCACTTATACTATAGGTGAAGGTATAATTTAAACATATCTCTTGGAAAATGTTTCATTTAGTAAATGTTTGAATGCATTTGTGTGCCACACAAACTAAAGTAGCTCCCACTGTTACTCACAACATTCTTTTTTCACATATTTGTTTGGTTTATTCATCTAACTTCTTGGATAGATGACAAGCTATGCAAGCGTAGGGCATATTTGCTTTGTTCACCATTATGTAATAAAATACCTGCCATGGATTGTCATATAGTTGCTTAGCAGATGTAAGTTGGATATATGAATAAATGAATGTCTAGACACCAAGGATAGATTTTTTTCTGTCAGGAGCTACTTTTCTCCTGTGTGGAGGACACAATGCTGATCTTTGTGATAAGTGCTCTGATAATATATGAAAATCATATAACCTGGACCTGATATTTAAGGTTTTCTGAGATGAAGCTTGAGCTGAATCTTTAAAATAAGTATAAATTCTAAGGGAAGAAAGCATGATCTTCACACAGAAGGCACCATGTACAAAGGTTAAAGATGGACACGCTGTAGGCTATGATCATGGGAGATGAGAGAAAAATCCACAGGACAGGAATAAATGTGCCAGGCTATGATATTAGAAATTTGTCCTGTGCTATGTAGGAACTAGTAGTGAATTTTAGTAAAAAGGGCTTTCTTATATGTGTGTTTGAAACAGTGCCGGTTGGAAAACTAATAACAAACCCTAGAAACTGTACAATAGAACTGAGGCTAACAGAGGGAATGGGGAAGGGGGCAAGTGAAGGGGTGGGGGGAGGCACAGTGGACTATGGCACAGTAGGTGTGGTGTAGTATAAATGGGGAAATCCTGTATCTCTGAAACAAGCAACAATATAAACCAGTGTTATTTCAATTAAAAAAAAAAAACTCGGGCTTGTTGGCAGAAGTCTAAAGAATGGGATGAAAGGGAAATCCTATAGAGTAGGATAAAAGTAAAACTTGGTTAATTCTCTGAGTAAGTGGCAGGGCATGGGGACTGCTGTTTTGAAAGTGAGGAAACCTAAAGATTCTCTGGTTAGTGGATTTAATTTCTCTTTCCCTTTTCTTAAGGATATGCATTTCTTAGAAGGCAGGGAGTCTTCTGTATTGTATCCTAAAGTTTGTTTATCTAGAAATATACAGCATGGGATGTGTGTGTTAATCTTGAGTCACATTCAAGCAGGCAGTGCCAGACTGATGTCATGGGTTCCTAATCTCTCCCAAGCACTGCATTAATGCAACATCTGTTCTAGCTGGGCTTTACCATCAAACAAATCAGCTACTCTTGCTCCTGCCTACATGCTTTTGCACATACAGCTACATCTGGTTGGATTTATTATCACCTATCAAAACCTTGCCTAGCCTAGATGATAATGCATACTTGAGCATCTATTGGGTGTAAGACATTATACCAATCTCTTGAGATTTAAAGATAAATTTAAGACTGGTTTCTGCCTTAACGGCATTTTCTAATCTAGTAGAGAGGTAGATATGCATATTTAGCTATAATACAGAGCAGAATATTCAAGTGGTATAGTAGTGCATAGGAGTAAATAAAAGGAAAGTCAGAGAAACTCATAGTAGAAATGATCTTTAAACTGTATTTGAAAGACAGATAAAATTAATGTGGACAAACAGCAAACATCATTATAGCATAAGGGAAAATTGTGTGGAAAGTGTTAGTTTTAAGAAGTGGTAAGTCTGCTCATGAGGTTACAAGATGATAATGGAGAAGTAAGGTCAAGCTTGATAGAGGACGGTATTAACTGTTTTTCAGATAGCTTGATTTGATTTTAAAAGCAATGACTAGACATTGAGGGCTTTTTGTGCAAGATGACATGATCAAGTTTAGGAAGATTACATTATAAAGAATTAGGACTTAGGATGACTTATGGCCAGGTATTAACTATTCAAGTAGCTGACAGATGAGAAATACATAGATTGGAAGACTATTTAAAAGTTAGGAGTAGGCGCAAATTGAACCAAGATGGCGGCCCCCGTGGATCTGGAGTTGAAGAAGGCCTTCACAGAGCTTCAAGCCAAAGTTATTGACACTCAACAGAAGGTGAAGCTTGCAGACATACAGATTGAACAGCTAAACAGAACGAAAAAGCATGCTCATCTTACAGATACCGAGATTATGACTTTGGTAGATGAGACTAATATGTATGAAGGTGTAGGAAGAATGTTTATTCTGCAATCCAAAGAGGTAATTCACAGCCAACTGTTAGAGAAGCAGAAAATAGCAGAAGAAAAAATTAAAGAATTGGAACAGAAAAAGTCCTACCTGGAGCGGAGTGTGAAGGAAGCGGAGGACAACATCCGGGAGATGCTGATGGCTCGAAGGGCACAGTAGGAGGCCTCTGGGGGAAGCTCTTCCTTCTTACCCTCCGTTCCTGGCAAGGGCAGAGGGGCCTGTGTGGGGCAGCAGGTTCTGCTCTGCCCTGATGGACATTTAATGTGGCTGTGTGGTAACCCCGATTTTTCTACATCACCCTGAGCCCCTTTTCAGATCCCAACCCTGTATTTCTTATCCTTGCCCAGCCTGACACTCCTCTCCCCTAGGGATAAGCCCACCCTCCCCGAAAGGGCAGAGGACAGCTAGGGGCGCTCTTCCGAGCCTGCTACTAGCCATGCTGGTCAGACCAATAAAAGGCATCCCCTTCTGCTAAAAAAAAAAAAAAATAAAAAAAATAAAAGTTAGGAGTAAATGAGGTTTTGCCCTACTCCCAAAATGAATGTTTATTTCACATAACATTAAGTCATAACTAAACAATAGACTCTGGATATTGGGAATACAAAGATATATTCAATGTTATGGCACATGAAAGAGAGAAAGAATGTTTAAGGGGTTTTTTTTTTTTAAGATTTATTTACTTATACAAGAACTGGTGTACAGGCCAGATGCATGGGAGGGTGAGAGGACTCACCAGAGACAGAGCGGGGAACAGAACAGGCAGACTGACTGAAATACACTGCTGCGGGGAGCAGCAGGTGAGACAGGAGAGGTCTGCTGCACCATGTGGGACCCTTACCTGCCAGCCAGGATTGAACTGGCACTGCAGAAGCTGCCTGTGCCACCAAGGGAGGCCCTGTGTGTTTAAGTTTTTAACTTGATTGCTGCCACTTCCTTAAATGAAAATATTAAGGGAGGGCTATAGATGGGTTAAAAGACAACCAATTTTTAACCAAATGTTGCCAGTACAAAAGTGGAGAGGAAAGGTCTACCTGTGAGCTGATCAACCGGGAGTTTTGGGCTGACATGTCTAGGGTCAAACTGGCCTTCTCTTTTTTTTCTTTCCTCCTCTTCTCCTTTGTTTGAACCAAGGGGTTGGGAGTTCGGTTCCATACCAGGTTAATTGAGCAAATAAATACATTGAGAATAATGGAAGAGAGGAAGACAAGAGTAAAATCTGTGGACTGGAAGTAGAAGTATCAGAATGCACTAATGGTGCTTAGTATATTCATAGAGATGGAGAAACAGATAGCTCTCTGTGTGTATGTGCATACACACTTTGTAATAGAAGCAATGACACTAGTAACAACACATTTTTTACCCAGGTCTTGGTGTCCAAATCTTATTCTTCACCAAATCAGGACTCCTTAGAGAAATTACTAATTCCCAGATTGCATCTGAAAAGTAAATGAAGGAACCTGGGATATTAACTTGCCCTAGAAAGTAAGAAAATGCTCAAAGAATGCAGGGTACATGTCAGAAGGACCCAGGAGCTAGCTTAAAGGAGTGCCCACATTGCGAAATTGGAGCATCAAATTGTGATTATAACAGTTCATAATTATTTGAGCAAAATGACTATCCACAAGCTCATACTCATACAAATGAATAAAAGGGGGAAGAAGGGAACTTTTTGCTCAATAGAATATTAGCTAGAGGGCATGATGAAATTAGAAAAATCAACAATTTAAAACCATTATAGTAATAGTTTTTTAGCTAAGAATCATCAAAAAAATGGCAAATGTGGGTGAAAATTTGATAGGAAATAGGAATATTTACATAGTCTTAAAGAATTTTCCTATAAGATTGTTATTAGTCATAATAAGTATAACATTCTTACTGGTTTACTTAATGTTTATGAAACCTGGCAGAAACTATCTTAACCAAGTGATTAATATTAGCGATGAGACAAATCAACATCAGAGAAACCCAGATTAAGGCATTGGTCTAGAAAGTAACTGGACAGCAGTCTCCAGAAATGTCAGGGTCGGGGCCCTCCCTGGTGGCCTGGGGTGTTAAGTCTCAGCCCTATCACCATTAAGACCTGAGTTTGATCCCCAGCCAGGGAGCTAACCCACATATAGCACAGCAGACCTCTCCTGTTTCTCCAGCTGCTCCCCTTAGCAGTGTATTTTAGTAAATCTGCCTGTTCTTCCCACTCTGCCTCTGGTGAATCCTCTCACACACACCCCCCGCCACTACCACCCTGCACCTCTGGCCTACACCCCAGTTCTTCTATACAAAAATTTTTTTAAAAATTAAAAAAAAAAATATCAGGGTCATGAAAGACTGTTTGACTTAAGGACTAAATGAAAGGAACTTGTGAACTTAATTTGGAACCTAGTGGAGTAAAGGGCTTTCTTATTGGACCAAATGGCAAAATTTAAAGGCAGCATGTGGACTATATGATAGTAATGATGGTAATTTCCTGAATTTATTAGGTCAAAGAATACACTGAATTAGGGAATAAACACTGAAGTATAAATTGGTAATGGGGCATCATGTCTGCAACTTATTCTTAAAGTGGGGGTCTTGGATAGAGAAATATTAATAAGCCCTCTTGATGAAAAGTATATAAAGGATATATATACATTTCTATGACTTTTATGTACATATGAGGTTATTTCACAGTCAAAATATTGTAAAAGGGGTATGATAGTTCGCAGTGTCAGGTACTAAAGGGAGGTTAAGGAGGAAGGGGAGTAAGGAATTGGTTTCGACAATCAATGGAAGACTAGTCTTGAGAGTCAGGTGCACTTACAGCTGACTGAGAAGGGAATGGCAGATAAGGAAGGGAGGAGCATGGAGAGGTCATTTGGAGAAGTTTATTGGGAGAGAGAAGGTAGGACAGTAACTGGAAGGAGAAAGGGTTTCATTTTTGTTGACAGATAAAGGAAAATGTATCTGTAAATTGGTAAAATATAGAGATACCAATTAAAGGGATAATAACTGGTGGAGAACCAATTGGTAATCTTTGGGGAAAGGTATATGGTTGTGATAGAGAATAAAATCAAGATCCTAGATGTAAAGGGATCAACTGGGAAAGTCTTCCACTTCCTCTCCATCATTTCCTCCCTAAAAGGGACCTAATTCTTCCTTCCCTTGTATAAAGCTGCCATGAAATTTAAGTGCAGTTGACCTCACCTACAACTCCAGTAGTAGAGCCTGGTAATTCTAATCTTTCTTGCTGTTGTGATTTATATGGTAAACCAGATCTAAATCAGTTTATAATACATTTCTTGCACCCAGGGAATGAAGTGTAAGGATTATATTCTGTCAGTAAAAATCCCAGGACTCTTATTAGATGTTTATGAGATGAGACACTCTTCCCCGGCACTACTGCCAGACGTATATGAACAGGAGAGATGCCACCCTTTAGATGAAATCTACACTAAAGGGGAGCAAGGAATTTATACACAAAATCAAAACTGGAGACCTGATCAGACCATATCTAAAGCTATCACTGGACTTTTTTGTTCTTTTTGCCAGTACACCTTTTTTATTGCCAACTTGAGTAGTATTACCTGTAACTTGCTACCAGCATCATCCTAACTGATATGAAAGGATAAGAGAGTTATTTTCTAACAAATGGTGCAGAGAAGCATGAAGACAAAAGCGTCTAAATGAAATAAAGAAGAAAAACAACAGGAAATCCTAATTTTAGAATCCAGAGCATGAAACTTAACTTATAACTCAAATCTATAAAAGTCTGTTAATCTCTAAATTTTTTACTGTGCTTTTTAGAATACTATAAATACTGAATCTCAGATGCTATCTTACAATATTTTTCAGTTATTTTGCATCTATCCTTAAACAGATTGTAAACTCTTTATGGTTAATGGTTGGGTCTTGACACAGATGTGTGTCCAACTTAGGAACAAGCACATTGCTAGGCAAACCAGATGCTGATTCAAAAGGTTTTACATTGCAGTGATATCTTGGAGCTTGCCGTACACCAGCATGTAGCTAGATTATCTCCTCCTCAATCTTCAATCTCTGTGTTCACTAGGGCAAATCTGTGGGCAGCTCTGAGCTCTGTACTAGATAAGAACTTTTAAAACATGTTTATTAAAGGCCACACCAGTTACCCCTCAAGAAAGACTAAAGCTCCATGTTTTGGATACATTTTTACAGTACTATCTTATTTAATGTTGCTCTATTTCACTTAAAAGGCATCAAAACTAGTCCAATTTCAAGTTAGATATCACAACTTGGAAGGTAGCATATTTCAAAACCTCTTTAAACATTCTACCTGGCAGCTACAACATGTCTGGACATGAATATACACTCTGATTCTTGTGGAAACAAAAAGAAGCTTATCAAAGGGAGGACCTATGTTCAGTCATTGGGTGCTGAAGAAGAAGCCTGCTCTTCTACACAACTCTGGAGTCTCCCCACCTGCAGGTAATGCTCTCCAATGCCAGTAAACCACAAGTCTACAGTTTGCAAACTGGTCTTTCAACAAACCTTTGTCCAACATAAGCTCCTGGAACTAAATTGATTTTATTAGGCTTTAGTCTGTTACATGATTCTCCAAATCAATAAAGAAGATATTGAATCTAGGCTCTCTCTAACTGACTGCATAATCACCCATGAGACAATATTTAAATTTACTCCTAAAATTTTCAGCTGAAATTGAGACATGACTCTAGAATAAATGACCAAGTGACTAAGCTCTGTTTGTTGCCTAAGAAAGTAAACATTTCTACACAACTAAAGGAATAGAATGTATTTTATGGCGTTTCTGTTTTCTTCCTATTTAGTCCTGATTCCCAACAATATGCAAACAGCTGTTTAACGAATGTGAAAAATAAATAATTGAACACATTTTGCAAGTATAATGTCTGCCCTCTGCCCCTAACAAAAGTGATGCAAATTGCAGTTTCCCTAGTGCCACAGTGGGCAGCTGGAAATAGTCTCCATCCAATTCCAATATGCCTCCCAATACAATTGCACAAAGAGTTCTTTTGAGTCAGGAAGAGGGTGAGAAATAGACATCATTGTGCGTTCGGCTTGAATGTCTACATATCTGCACATGTTGGGAGGCTAATAAAGTGGTAGGTCAGTCCTTAATTCAGTTTGGCTTTTTTTAAATGCTATATATACTCTACTGCCTGAAAACTTTTACTCTTAAGGAGCAAGGACCACATAACTTAGTAAATGCCTAAGGACAAAATGTCATTTTGCATACAAGTGAGTGCTGAGTTTGCTGTCTGCCAAGACTTGCGCCTTCCAGGAGCCCCCGGCTGGAGTTAATTCCCATCCTGCAGTTGGGGAGGTCTTCAGAATGTTAAGACTGTCAGCTGTAACTTGGAATGAAGAAATAGAAGCCGTTGAGCATTAGAAATAGCCAACCTGAAACTAGAGTTTGTTGGAAGAGGCACAGGGATAAGGGGAGACCACTGAGTTAGCCTCAGTTCTACACTTGCTAAG